CGCGCCATGACGAGACGCGCCTCGCGTATTCCTCCGCCGCCGCCGTCCGCACCCTCGAGGAAGGCGTCGAGGCCCGCCACCGCGAGATCCAGACCCTCATCGCCGACAACCAGCGTCTCGCCGGCATCCACGTCGCCCTCAAGCAGGACCTCGCCGCCACTCAGGAGGAGCTCCGCCGCCTCTCCGCCGCCTCTGCCGAGGTGAAGGCCGAGCGCGACGCGGAGGTGCGCGAGATCTACGAGAAGTCGCTGAAGGTTGACGCCGAGGTCCGCGCCGTCGCTGCCATGGGCGCCGAGCTGGACCGGGTGCGGGCGGACGTGCAGGAGCTCGCGGCGGCGCGGAAGGAGCTCGCGACGCAGCTTCAGGCCGTCGAGAGTGACCTCGCGAGGGCGCGCGCGGAGGCGCAGTTTGTGCCCGCGATCAAGGCCGATATAGAGGCCATGCGCCATGAGGTTCAACGAGGAAGGTAAATTGTTTATTTATTTATTTAATTTGATTATTTATTTTTGTGAATTTGTGTCTCTGTCTGAACATCGTTTGTTTGTGTTAATGGCTTCATGAGAACATTAACTTATTTAGTGTTGGTGCATTGTTAGCATGTTGAAAGAATGAGTTTCAAGTGAGATGGCTTGGACCTTTTTGTTCTCGTTTTGCATTTTTGGTGGAATGGTGCTTTTATGGATTTTTTTTTGGCTTGGGAGTGAAAAGATTGGAGTAAGAAAGGTGCACCTCGAAGCATTTTAGATATCGATTGCTCAATGTAATGTCATGAATGCAAGGTTTAAATAAACTGTTTAGGACTGTAATTTCAACTACAATTGTGGCCGCATTTGTCTACGATTCCTAGGATCGCGATGAAACCAAGACTGCCACTGTGACCCCAATTTAAAACCTTGCTTGAATGGATACATTTTGGGCAATTTGTACTTGAGTTTAGTTTTCTTGAGTCCTAACTAAATACATATTGGTCGTTTTTATAGGATTTTCTTGTTAGGGTAGTTTGTACAGGACCTTGCATTAATTGGTTTTGCTGAATGGTGGTGAGCACTGCCCCAAGGACCATGTTTTGTTCATCCTCATTGGTTGTTAGGTTTCCCTCCCTTTAGGATGTGGTGGAAGACTTTCAGAAACAGAATGAATGTAGCATACAAACACGTTTGGATCAGTGAGATCATGGGAGTAAAGTGCTTTTATTTGTTCTTCGTGTTTGTTCTCACGTTTGTCTCCCCTCAAATGGAGTCACATGTCAATATGGCAGCCCACACACACCGTGTGCCCCTGGTGTTCTTTTCAGCTTTTGGCACTGCCTATCATTTGACTCATGCCATTGACAATACTGATATTCTTTCTATTAGCATCTGGATTTATTTTGTATTATCAATCCATTTGCTTGGCTTTGTTTACAAGTTAAACTATTTGATTCTGAGGCCCTTGATTATGGTGATTTTAAGACTCAGATTGTCTGACAACCAAACTTAGTTGCTCACTGCAAATGGTCCTCTGTCTTCTACCTTGTTTCAAGTTCAATGCTCTAGTAACTCTGCATAACCATCATAAACCAATGCATCTCCTGCTGCAAATACAATTCCAGAAAGCATGAGGGTTATTGTTCAAGGTAGAGAAAGGCTGAAGAAAACTATAGGTGAAAACATTAAAAAAGGATTTGGCGGTCAATTCTTTGTTTATAGAGATGATTAACATTAAAACATTATGGCATTGTTTGATCCATTAGCCAACTCCATCTGGTGGGGGAAAGGCTTGGCTGTTGTTGTATCCTTCTGTTTTTATTATCAAAATATCAAATTATAAATCTTTTAAATATTATATATCACAATTATTTTCCTTGTTTGTTTTTTTTCCAGTTTGAGCATTTAACCCAAGGCTTGACCTCTAACTTGGTGACATGGCCTTTTGATTAGGTCAACTTCCAATTTGGGTATAGAACTTTGGTCTGTTCAGTTGGAGTCTAGTATCATATAGTGGAGAGAATTTTATTGGATTATTATGAATATATACAATTCTACTCTATAAAAAATTTTGTTTAAACCCACTCAGAATGGAGGCATTATGTTAAGAACATATGTCTAAGTCACATTTTTTTTTTTCTTCATCATATCTGACACTAATATTTTCTTTCATTCCTTACCCTGCATTAATCTGGTTTGAACTGTGTAGATGTCTGAATTCCTTGGAACGTCAGAACTTAAAGATGCCCCAATAAAGCTCCTAGAAGAGGTGTTTGAAAACTAATGTTGATGGGTACTGTTCAGTCTGTATAGAAGCATGTTTGATTTATATCTCATTCTTTGTTTGCTTTGATTTCTAATATTGAACCCTGTGATCAGTTCAGTTGCTAGTTATCATCAGCCTATACCAAAATGAGATTTAGGGGGGTGTATTAGTTTAGGATTTCATAGGATTTTAAAATATTTTTTTTAAGTAAAAAAGTCCGTTGGTATTCGATTAGGATTTTATGTCACTTAAAAATTTCAGTCTAGATTATGTAATCGGCTGGTCTCTACTGATTCCAGCTTCCAAATTCAACACTATCTTTTCCGTTGAAAGAGTGATCTTTCCTGCACCTAGTCAGATGCTAAGGAAAAAAATTCACTCAGTCTGGAATATTGTGCAATATGCATGCTTTAAATTTTCATTTACTGATGCATATAGGAATGCTATTGAGTTTGAGAAGAAGACACATGCTAGTAACCTTGAGCACAAACGGGCTATGGACAACAATATGATCATTATGACCCGTGAGGTTGAAAAGTTACGTGCTGAGTTGGCTAATGCAGAAAAGAGGGCAAGGGCCGTGATGGCTGCATCTGCAAATCCAAGTAATTAGGCTTTCTTGCTCATTCATCTTGAAGTGCTTAATAAATAAGACGAGAATAACTTGAAAATTTGGTCAAATTTTGTTCATCAGTGTCCTGTTTGACATTTTTAAAAAGAAAAAGAAAATCTTTTTTTAATTAAAATACATTTTAATATATTTTTTTTATAACTTTTTACTCTTCTCACTATTTGAATCCATCTGTATAAGCTTTGAAAAAGGTGTTTTTATGATATAGCCTTTTTTTTATAGATTTTTTGGAGATTATTATTATTATTATTTTATTGTTTTAAGAAAAACAATTGAATACACGTTTAGTTTAATTATTCTTGAACGCATTCTATAAATCTACGGAGTTGTTTCTTCTAAGCAGGTCCTGGATACCCTGCAAACTATGACAATCCTGAGGGATATGGAGGAATCGCATACCCTCCTGATTCTTATAGCATGCATCAGGTATGCATGCCACTCTCTTACAAGTTTTATATACTTTTTGCTTGCTAGTCTCAAAGTCTCAAAGTAATTATGTTATCAAGTTACATCAAGAGAACTCTTAAGGTGTCTCAACTCTACATCTGAAATATAACCCGTCACTATTCACTTAATCGATAGAGGAATAGGCAGCAATACTAATGATTCTTGAATGTAACATTTTTTATTTAATTGAAAAATAAAAAGATTGTAATGTTTTATTAACATAATTATCTGAAATCTAAACTTCTAAAAAACCTACTTCTGAGACCGGACACTCAGCCAGTTTGCTCATTGACGTACTTTCTTAATGGCTTACTCCCATCTTTCTTCGTTTTCATTTTTTTAAGTCATCTGAATCCACTGCTGAATGTATGCACCCGATCCAGGTGGATATTTTGTTTTCTTATTTGATAGTTTTCCCAATAAGTTACCACCACACACACTCTCATGTATAGAACGATGTTAGGACTAAGAGGATAAATAATTCGAATTTCCTAAACTTTACAGATCCAAGCTGGGGTTGACACACATTCTCCATATGGAGCTGGAGCGCCAGTACACCATACACAAGTGCGTAGATAGGCTTTATTTTTTGAAGGAAGAGAAAGGAAAAGAATGTAATGTTTTCCTAAGTCTCCTTCTCCCTCAAAGAAACTTGTACAATAGCAGCTCATATAATTTTGCTGATATCTGAAAGTGGGTGACACACCCATGAAGCACCTGTTTTAACCGTCAGATAAAGAAATTTAATGACTGTGATTTGTTATCAGTTACCTGCTTCTGAAAGGAAACCGAGTTTATATATTAGTCACCGTTGATTACAAATTAACCGGAACTATTAATTTATATGTTTGCAAAGTATTTTGAAGATGTACATGGTTAATCCTGAAGCATGGAGTTGAGGGCTTTGGGTGAAGATGTCCACCCACAATTGTGTTTAATCTTTCATCGTTGCACATTTAGGTATAATCTTTTATTGGTGGTGGTGTATTAGATATTGGGCCTGTGAAGATTTGGAAAAGTTTTTCACTGAAAGCTCTCGTCCGAAAGGTGGGAAAATGTGGAGGCTTTGTGGTGAACCAAATTTGTGTTGAGGATGAACTCTGTCGCGCATCATGGCTCCCCGCTAATCATTTTGACGTATAGGTCTCAAAACCTATAATGAAAGCTTATTAAGAATTACGTAGACATAACTCGTTAAAATTTTTACATGGAAATGCATCTATCATTTGAATGTATGCGGTGTGTATTTCTATAATCTTTATCAGAAAATCTGACCAGTTATCTTTATTAGAATCTTTTCTTTTAATAATGTTTTTTTTTTCTAGATATAAGACTTGAGGCTTAAACTTTTCTTAAATTGTGTAGTAACCACTTCTGAAACAACAATAATCATTATTAGTTACTATAGAGATTAAATATTATTTTATTGCTGTAAATATTTTTTAATGTAAAGAAAAAAATTGCAACAATGAGCTCACATTAGTTATAAAAAGAATCACATAAAACTAACACAATAAATAATAAATTAGTACCTTCTAACAAATACCATTAATTGATTTAAATAATTCACTTACATATCCATATCTAGTCGTAATTATTAATAACCATTGTATGTGCTGAGGTCATTGGGACGATTTGGGACAATTATTTTTATTATTACTAGTGAAAAAAAAATACTATGTCTTGTTAATGTTGTAAGATGTGAAAGTTATGAAGTGGTTATGATGTAGTTTATTTTTAGAGAATAGTATTTTTTATTTAAATTAATTAGGTAGAATTACTAAATTATCTTTCACTAAAAAAAATAATTGAGCAGTTACCATAATAAATAAAGACTAAAAATGTCTTAAAAATTGTGTATGCATAAACGATGAATTGTCCTTACATATTATTATAAATTTTAATAATCTTGTATGATTATTAACTACTTTATGAATTAAAATTAATCTTATTAAACATTTCAATAAGCTTGTGTAACCATTGATCACATAGAAAATTACATATAATAATATTATTTAATCTTAATCTTAATCTTTGAACTATAATTAACTATACTGTGACATATAGTTAATTACATTGTTTGTTAATAATTTGATGATATAATCAACTACTTGTAAGGAAAAGTTATTTATTATTATACATTTAATAATCTTGCGATATTTTTTAACGGTATGTCAACAATTATATGTATAATATATAGTTATATTTATTAACTCTTAACTACTTATAAAATATAATTAACAATATTTATACAGATGATTAATCGCATATTGGCGTGTTAGTTGGACACTAGATGGAAAATCTGGCGTGTACAATAGTCGGAACATTTTTAACAATTGTACTCTATTTGAGTACGATTCTCTCCTATAAGATAAGATACTAGTAGACTAGTAGTCTGGATCATGTTTCTCTATAGTTGTATAAACTATAAACAACTGCACCATAAAAAAAATAATATTATTTTCATATAATTTTAATTTTAAAAATACATTTTAAAAGTCCATGCATCCGTTTGATGCAACTGCACCACCGTGCAGTTTTTTCCCCCCTAAACTGCAGGTGATCCTAATACCTAGTAGTCTACCAAAAATGTCCAAAAGTTCTGTAGTTTTGATATCTACTTCCCTCACATCTTTTAATGTTTCACTTCCCTCGTGCACTGTCATTTATATTAATATAATTAAATATCTATATTAGAAAATAAATTTGATTTAATAAACTTAAATATTGTTTTACACTCTTCATATACCGTTTTGAAGCATGTATAATATGAGTGATTGAAAACCTAAAGAATAAAAGAAACTTTTTTTCAAGAAAATACATGTACAAAAATAAAGTAATGTACAATAATCAGGGTAGTATTCCAAATTTATGCTTTGTTTGGATATTAAAATATTTTGAGAAGAAAGAAGTGGTGGAATAGAGAGAAGTTAGAAAGAAAAGGAAATAAATAGATTTTTTTTAACTTGTTTGGATAAATGGAAAAACGAAAGAAGTAGAAGAGAAAGAAAAAATAAAATGTGTTGTAAAGACATATTTTTCTTTAACAAATTATAATGTATTTAGATAGTTTTAAAAAAATGATAAATAAATTATTTCAATTTTTTAATGAGTATCAATAATTTAATTAAATTAATTTAAATAAATATGTATATATAAACATCTGTCACTAAATCATTATTTATAATTATTATTATTTTATTTTAATTGACATTGTATTAAATTATATGAAATCATAGTTGATTTTTATTATAATTATTTTAAAAGTTATATATTTCCACTTATATACAATATGTGGTGGACGTGGGATTTAAATTTTTTTTCAATATATATATATATAAAATTCTCAAAAATAAATGAAAATCACCTTATATTATTATACTACATTTTTATTTTAAATTGGAAATTTTGTGTATAAAATAATGGAAGAAATGAAGGGAGGGAAGAGATGAATAATTTGAGTCCTTTGTATAACCGGCGTATTATAATTGATAGTTACATAACGTGGGATGGTAGGAGCACATGCATTATTATGCGATTACAAAGTCGTGAGGTGAGAGAAAGTCATAGAGACTAGAGAGAGAGAAGTTTGTAGAGATAAGATGGGATGCACTTCACTGCTTAGAAGCCCCAAGAAAGAAGAACAGGAAGTACCCGATTCTAACCAATCTTACACCTATGAAGATTTCAATATTTTGGACGAACTCGTTGAAGGGGTCTTGAACACTAAGGAAGAACAAGAGTTACCCCATCAAAACTCTTCTAGTGCCGAGCTTCATTGGGATTTCATGGAATGGGAGGAGTTCATTCCACCCTTTGGAGAGGAAGGAGAAGATGAAAATGAAGGGAAACAAGAGGTAAGAGAGAACACGAACATGATGGATAATAGAAGCCTTTTCGAGGAGGAGGAGGAGATAAAGAGAGAAAACATTAATGTTGGGTTTTGGGAAGTGGATGATGAGAAGATGGTGGCTTTGAACTTGAACTTGAACTATCAAGAGGTTTTGGATGCATGGTCTGACCGTGGCTCTCTTTGGGCTGATGATTGTTCTCTTTCATTCGCTACCAATAATGCCTACTACGTTAGTATTCACCATTCATTCATCTTCTTCCTCTATTATCTTCAGATGCATGTTTGCAATTGTGAATTGATGCTTTATAATAACTATTACTCTTGATTATAGTGTTTGATATTTTTAATGATTTTTCCTAGAATCTTTGATATAGTAGTGTTTGGATTAGGATTTTTATGAGTGAGATAAAAACCTTAGCTAGATGATATATTTATTTTGGAAGTTGGATACAAGTCTTTGAAGGCTGAATTATTTGGTAGCTAGAATAGATTTGAATTAGAGTTTGTGATTACTAATATAGAGCAGACATGAATGATTGTGTTTAGATGGGGGAAGTGCCAGTATTGGAAGAAGAGAGAGCAAGAAGAGAAGCAAGTGTTCTAAGGTACAAAGAGAAGAGGCAGAACCGATTGTTCTCAAAGAAGATAAGATACCAAGTTCGGAAATTAAACGCTGATAAAAGACCCAGAATCAAGGTGGTCACTTTTTTTGAATTTGGTGTTTCTTTTGGGTTTTGTATGGTGATTTTGTTTTGTAATGAAAGCAGCTTTTTCCGATATTTTTGTTTGTAGGGTCGCTTTGTGAAGAGACACTGACTGAGGCTGCGATCCTGAAAGATCCCAAACCCAAAATATCTCCCAAAATATCTGAGTCCACTCCCTGTACATTTACTTTCAACTCCTTCCATTCTTGTATTTATCCATTCAAATTATCCTTCCCATGCATCCTATATACTATTGGAAAACACAAGAAACAAAATGTCTCTCTAATTTCAGGATCAAATTCATTCCCTTTTCTTTAATTAAATTCAAATTTGGATTTTTATTTGCCTTCAACTTCACTCTTCTTATTAACCTCTCTTGCCTCTTGTTTTTTCACTCTTTCCCGTTTGCTTATTTCTAAGGTATGGTCTATGATTGTCGCCTAGTGATGTGCTTAATCCAAAGCTTCAATGGGTTATGGGTGGATATATTTTTTTCAAGTGTAACAATATGTAATCTCCTAAATATTACTTAATTTATCAGGCTGGTTCTTTTTTTAAAAAAATACTTTATATTAATGTTTATATAATTTTTCAAACTTCTATAACTTAAAAGACATCTTTTATATTTTTAAAAATTTATTTTAAAAGGTTTGTTTCTAAAAAATATAGAAATATAATTATATTTTTAAGATTCATTTCTAAAATATATTTTTTTTATTAAAAACATTATTAATTTTGAAAAGTCTCAGTATAATGGGTGTCATATTTAATGAGTGTTAATAGGTGGATATGTCAATTGTCAACACACATAAAAGAAGAAAAAAGTGGATATACCCTATGAGTCTATTTGAAAAAAGAAAAATGGTTGAGATACAAAAGAGCATTCTGATTTGGTATGCACAGGAGGATTGTTCCCAAAGAAAGAAGTCAGCCAAAGATTCGATTCCCGAATCTACAACCAAAAAGAATTTATACTACAAATATTAATTTCTTTTTTATCTTTTTTTATTTTTTTACTTACAAATATTTTACTTTTACTATGGCAGCAACTTTCTTATGCATGTACATTTCACATGTTAGCAAGAAATATCTTGCATATGAACTATAGACAAAATAAATAAAAAAACACTTATCCTTTTCTTTTTCTGAGTTATTCTAGTTAGGCGTTAGTTGGAGATATATTTATGTTACTTTCTAAAATTGACCTGTTGGAAAAACTACAAACAAATTACGTGTCACAAAGAAATTGTTGGGATTTTTATTATGTAATATATATATATATATATATATATATAATAAGGAATTCGTTTATTTTAAGAGTAAGTTTACCTATGTTCAATAGGTTATGTTGTACATCAAATTTTAACGATCTAACGGTTGAATTTTAAGTTTTTAATTTAAATTTGTAAATTTTTAAAAAATTTGAAAATCATTTGATACTTTCTTTCATTAATTCAAATCAATGTATAAAATAATTTTATGATTATCCGTCAATTTGAATTAATAAAATGAAGTATCAAATGATTTTCAAATTTTTTAAAATTTTGCAGACTTGATTTGTGCATTAAAAATTTTAAATTCAACGGTTGGATAGTTGAAATTTAATGTATAACATGAATTATTGAACAGAGTAAGTTTATGTAGACTTACTCTTAGAATAAACAGATCTCTCATATATGTGTGTATGTGTGAATAAATAAATAAAGGAGGGATCCCTTACTCTAAAAGTAAGTTTATTTAGACTTATATTACTCAATAACTTATGTTTTACAACAAATTTTAATGATTGAATCATTTAATTAAAAGTTCTTAATGTATAAATTAAGTCTACTAATTTTAAAAAATTTAATATACAACATGAGTTATTATGTGAAATAAATTAGAATAAGTGAATTCTCTCTATATATATATGCTAAATTATATTTTCCTTCCTGAAAAATGTTAATTTATATGATACTTCTTTATTTTTTTATTTTAAAAAAAATAAATTATTATTCTTTAAAAAAGAATATACACTATATCTACGTTTATTATGTAAATTAATTACGTATTACTAGCACTCCACTCCATATTTTTGTCTTAGTTCACAATATTAATCATATTTCATTTTTTTTTACATGTTTTATACCTTTTTCTCCCCTTATGTCAATAATATTGAAGACTTGAGTGCAAGGTGTGTAAACGCAACTAATCCAGGGTACAATAATTCAATTCAAAGCTTGAAAAAATACAAATACTAAAGTCGTAATCCAACTTAACATCTTACTTACCCTGACCCGTAATTTCAAGCCATGATTATTTGATAAATTTCCATGTATATATGTTTCATCATGACTTAAAATCGAAACTATAGTTTTCTAAGTTATGGTATGCAGTTATGATATTCCTCTCATTGGCTCATATATATATATGCTATGAATAACTAATTATAAATAAAAAATGTAATTACACAGTTTACAAAAATGTAATTACGTATAAGATATGATTAATACTAATTACTTGTGAATTAAAGTTAATTAAATGTAAAGTTTTTTATTTTTTTATTTTACACCACTTCCAATGCTGAGTTAATCACTACGTATTGTATAAGATATGATTAATGTTAACATTGTTCCAATTGCTTATGAAATTTTAAAGCTTTTACACCAAAATAATAATAAACGTTTAATATAATTTTACTAAAGTAACTCCATTATTTCAATAAGTGAGTTGAATAGTTAATGATGAAAAAATTAGAAGAAAAAAAATAGTAAGAATATCAATTATTTGCGGAGAATTTTTAAATATTAAAACTGTAATTAATTGGAGATAAGAAGAACATTAAATATGTAAAATTATTACTTTTAATATATAAAATCAAGTTTATTTATTTTTAACTACCAATTAATCAATGTTATAAATTTACTTATGGTTTTATAGTTTTATAAATGTGCAATTTCGTCTCCCAAATTTTTTTATAACAAATTTATTCTTTCTAGTTTTTAAAATTAAACAATATTTATCTATTATTTACATGATATAAAAAATTATACATAAAGTGTTAGCATGATACATGTCCATGGGTCAGGGTCGGTCCAGACATTCTATAAGTCTTAGACAAAATAATAAATTAGAATCCCTTAAATATAAGTATAAAATAAAAATATATTTAATAAAAAATAGACATGTAATTTTATTAAAAAAATTATATATCTTATTATATTAAGTGCATAATATAATTTTAGAGAAGACAAGTATAGTTATAGTGTAATTTTTTATTAAAAAAAAATAAAACAATTTATTTAAGTATCAATTACAAATTTCATTAAGTACAGTTTTCTTTTTTCTAGATATTTCAAACTTAGAGAGAGAATGTATGTAATATGTTATTCAGCGGAATTTTTTATTTCAAACTATTTTTTATATATTTTTTTCAGTGTTGTAATTTATTAAAAAAACTAAAAGACAGTTCTAATGATAAAAAATTGAAAGTCAATTTTTTTCATAAATAAAAAAAAAAATTGAATGACAATTAAAACATGAATGTGAAATCTTTTTATTTTAAAAACATTTAAAAATATAAAATGAATTCAGGGTTCTACGAATAGTCACGAATATAAAACAAGGAAGTGTTTTTTTTTTTTTTGAAATATAAGAGACTAAAAAAAATGAACCTCCTAATTAGAGACCCTAGACAACTCTCAAAACTGTCTCTGTCATGAAAGATGCTACATAAAAATTACTTAGTCACAAGTGATAAAATTATGTTTAAACATTTCAATAACTTTTTAATATTATTATACATACATCTATGTACAAATTTTATTTATTTATTGTTTTTTTGGCAGAAATTTGTTTTTATTGCTAATCACTTTAAAAATAAAATTAACAATGTTAGGTGAAGAGATGTGAGAGTGGGAAGATTTTATTGCTAAACACAAAGTCAACACTTTATAAAACTTGTAGTCACGTGCCACAATATATTCTATGAACTTTAAAAATTGAGTAGCCCTAATATTTTAATAGACCATGTTCATCGCTTTATTAAAATAAAAGATAAATATGTTTAGGTCTTTATGAAATTGATTGAATTTGAATTTATTAATTCTTTATATTTTTTATTGGTTAAAACTAAAAAAAAAAACGCAAATTAATGAGAAAATGATGTCTTGCAAAATATCTCGTTAAAGAAAATTAGAAAATGGCAAGGGAGAAATAGAAAATATTTTCTCCCTAAATCTACTCGATAATAGATAATAATAAATAAAAAAACTCTTGTTAATTCTCTTTTTTTCCACAATTTTTTTGTTAATCAGTCGAATATTACTTTTATTAGATATCTTTTTTTTTTAAATACACCTCTTTTCTTATTTTTAGAAAATAAATTCTTAAAATATCTTTAATTTTTTTTATTCTCTAATTTTTTAATTTTACATTTCTGACATTTAATTTATTATTATTTTTTTAGGTATTATTTTTTCCCCGTTTTTATTTTTAACATGCATTCGTTGTCTCTCCTCTATTATCCACTTATTTCGGTTGATATTTTTAATTCTTTCGATTTTTACATTATTCTCTATCCTTCCCTTTCAATTTTCGCTGTTATAATTTTTTTTTTCTTTCAATTTTTCACTGATGCAACATAGAAAATTGGTATTTTTCCAAAAGAACTTTTGGAATTATGTAAAATAAAATATTTCCAAAACACTAGTTTCATTATTTTAAAAAGTACTTTTCAAAATATTAAAATTGTCTTCCATAAAGTATTTTCTAAAATACTAAATTTAATGTTAAGATTTTTGGCACGCATATACCTACAACGTCATCATAAACCATTTTTATGATCCAAGTGTATGTAAAAATTAAAAGAGAGGAGGAAGAGAATAATGTGAAAATTAAAAGAATTAAAATTACATACTAAAATAGGTGGAGAATGAGAAAAAATAAGGGATACATGTGAAAGTTGAAAGAAAGAAGAAATGATGTGTGTGAAAAAAGAAGAAAAAAGTGCTAAATTGAACATTGAAGATTTAAAATTAAAAAGTTAATCCCTTCAAAAAATTAAAAAATAAAAGATGAAAAATATTTTAGATTTAAAAAGAAAAAGAAGAAGGTATATTTATATAAATAAGGAGATGTATATAAAATTATGATTAAAAAATTATTGAATAATAACAAAGTAAAAAATTTGAAAGAAGAAAAATAAAGCTAATTAGCCATACATGCGATCTCTAATATTATTTACTTTCATAAAATTATAAAGATAAAAATTAAAAGGAAAATGTAAACTTTTGGGAAAAGATATAAAAGGAATTTGATGGGAAAAGAAAAAATAAACAAAAAGAAACATTTTTTTAAGAGAAATGAAAACTTTTTGAAGGAATAATAAAAAAATAAAATTGATTTTTAATTCAAAAATAAAAATAAAATAAAAATAATAAAATTATTTATGATGATGACTAAATTAAAACATTAATATTTTTTTATAAGTTCTCACATAATTAAATTAATATAAAATTTTTAAAATAAGTTAAAATATCTTATAAAATATTCATAAGATCTTTTATAAAATTTTCCAAGCATTCTCATTAACACATATACATGTTTTTCCAAAGACTCTTATAAACACATATAAAATATAGAATAAGATAAATAAATAAAAAATTCATAAACGAGTATATCATATGATGAATGTTATTGTTTGAAGTAACAGTTCTCTCGAGTCCCGTTCCCGCTAAATGCTTTTGTTATGTTTTTGTTTTTGCATATCTCACTGATCTCTAGTAAAGTTAACTTGTAGCAATCTTTCACATTTATCTTCTGTTGCATTTCTGCAAAATAATCTCTCTGCAAAACCTTCCCAGGATAATATATGTTGGTTACTGAACTAACCACAGGCCATAACACCATGAAATTGATAAGGAAACTTAACCTTGGCATGCCAATGACGACAAGGGTAATGAAATAAGAAAGGAAGGGTGTGAAACGCTACAGATGAAATAGTGATTTAATAATTTTATATCAACATGGTTATTCTTTCCAAGTTGCAAGTATAAAAACCTGATATAATAGAATATGAGATATGATTAAAATACTATTTTTTCATCCATAAATTTATACAATGATATGATTACGATAAGTTATTAAAATAAGACAACGATTATTTTAAGCATTCTAATGTTGTTTTACACCGCACTACTCTAGAATGTGAAATAGAACAATCAAAAAGAGACACGGAATTCTCCGAGTGGCTATGCATAACTCAGGCGGTGGCGGTGGCGGTGGCGGTGTGTGCCACGTGGTGGCGATGCCGTTTCCGGGAAGAGGGCACATCAACCCCATGATGAACCTGTGCAAGATCCTTGCATGCAAAAGACCGAACGAGATTCTCATAACCTTCGTGGTCACGGAGGAGTGGCTCGGCTTCATCGGCGCCGATCCCAAGCCGGACGCCATACGCCTGGC